AAAGTTCAGGTATTTGAGTTCAACATGTAAGAAGTAGAAAGTACAGGTATTTGAGTTCAACATGTAAGAAGTAGAAAGTACAGGTATTTGAGTTCAACATGTAAGAAGTAGAAAGTTCAGGTATTTGAGTAAACATGTAAGAAGTAGAAAGTACAGGTATTTGAGTTCAACATGTAAGAAGTAGAAAGTTCAGGTATTTGAGTTCAACATGTAAGAAGTAGAAAGTACAGGTATTTGAGTTCAACATGTAAGAAGTAGAAAGTTCAGGTATTTGAGTTCAACATGTAAGAAGTAGAAAGTACAGGTATTTGTGTTCAACATGTAAGAAGTAGAAAGTACAGGTATTTGAGTTCAACATGTAAGAAGTAGAAAGTACAGGTATTTGAGTTCAACATGTAAGAAGTAGAAAGTACAGGTATTTGAGTTCAACATGTGAGAAGTAGAAAGTACAGGTATTTGAGTTCAACATGTAAGAAGTAGAAAGTACAGGTATTTGAGTTCAACATGTAAGAAGTAGAAAGTACAGGTATTTGAGTTCAACATGTGAGAAGTAGAAAGTACAGGTATTTGGGTTCAACATGTGAGAAGTAGAAAGTACAGGTATTTGGGTTCAACATGTAAGAAGTAGAAAGTACAGGTATTTGTGTTCAACATGTAAGAAGTAGAAAGTACAGGTATTTGAGTTCAACATGTCAGAAGTAGAAAGTACAGGTATTTGTGTTCAACATGTAAGAAGTAGAAAGTACAGGTATTTGGGTTCAACATGTAAGAAGTAGAAAGTACAGGTATTTGTGTTCAACATGTAAGAAGTAGAAAGTACAGGTATTTGAGTTCAACATGTCAGAAGTAGAAAGTACAGGTATTTGTGTTCAACATGTAAGAAGTAGAAAGTACAGGTATTTGGGTTCAACATGTAAGAAGTAGAAAGTACAGGTATTTGTGTTCAACATGTAAGAAGTAGAAAGTACAGGTATTTGAGTTCAACATGTAGAAGTAGAAAGTACAGGTATTTGTGTTCAACATGTAAGAAGTAGAAAGTACAGGTATTTGAGTTCAACATGTGAGAAGTAGAAAGTACAGGTATTTGAGTTCAACATGTAAGAAGTAGAAAGTACAGGTATTTGAGTTCAACATGAGAGAAGTAGAAAGTACAGGTATTTGAGTTCAACATGTAAGAAGTAGAAAGTACAGGTATTTGTGTTCAACATGTGAGAAGTAGAAAGTACAGGTATTTGGGTTCAACATGTAAGAAGTGGAAAGTACAGGTATTTGTGTTCAACATGTGAGAAGTAGAAAGTACAGGTATTTGGGTTCAACATGTAAGAAGTAGAAAGTACAGGTATTTGAGTTCAACATGTGAGAAGTAGAAAGTACAGGTATTTGGGTTCAACATGTAAGAAGTAGAAAGTACAGGTATTTGTGTTCAACATGTAAGAAGTAGAAAGTACAGGTATTTGAGTTCAACATGTAAGAAGTAGAAAGTACAGGTATTTGTGTTCAACATGTGAGAAGTAGAAAGTACAGGTATTTGAGTTCAACATGTAAGAAGTAGAAAGTACAGGTATTTGAGTTCAACATGTAAGAAGTAGAAAGTACAGGTATTTGAGTTCAACATGTAAGAAGTAGAAAGTACAGGTATTTGAGTTCAACATGTGAGAAGTAGAAAGTACAGGTATTTGAGTTCAACATGTAAGAAGTAGAAAGTACAGGTATTTGTGTTCAACATGTGAGAAGTAGAAAGTACAGGTATTTGTGTTCAACATGTAAGAAGTAGAAAGTACAGGTATTTGTGTTCAACATGTAAGAAGTAGAAAGTACAGGTATTTGTGTTCAACATGTAAGAAGTAGAAAGTACAGGTATTTGAGTTCAACATGTGAGAAGTAGAAAGTACAGGTATTTGTGTTCAACATGTAAGAAGTAGAAAGTACAGGTATTTGAGTTCAACATGTGAGAAGTAGAAAGTACAGGTATTTGAGTTCAACATGTAAGAAGTAGAAAGTACAGGTATTTGAGTTCAACATGTGAGAAGTAGAAAGTACAGGTATTTGAGTTCAACATGTAAGAAGTAGAAAGTACAGGTATTTGAGTTCAACATGAGAGAAGTAGAAAGTACAGGTATTTGAGTTCAACATGTAAGAAGTAGAAAGTACAGGTATTTGAGTTCAACATGTAAGAAGTAGAAAGTACAGGTATTTGGGTTCAACATGTAAGAAGTAGAAAGTACAGGTATTTGTGGAGTAAAGTACTGATACCAGAAAAATGTACTTAAGTACAGTAACAAAGCATTTGTACTTCACTACTTCCCACCTCTGTTGCTGGCTCTAATTTGTGTTACAGGTGTCGAGTGTCAAGTCTTTTACCTGATGAGCCACACCTGGGTGCCTGGGGATAAAAGGCCAACACCCTCCCATACTGCCGGCTCTCATTCTTTTGTTGGCCTCAACTTTGATTTTCACACACACACACACACACACACACACACACACACACACACACACACACACACACACACACACACACACACACACACACACACACACAGACAGACAGACAGACAGACAGACAGACAGACAGACAGACAGACAGACAGACAGACAGACAGACAGACAGACAGACAGACAGACACAGGTTCGTTATGTCCTCATTGTAAACGTGCCTGGTCTCCCGTCTTTGTTGCAGCCTCCGGGCCGTACACAGTATCATTCATGTATTTGACATCCATCCACAATTGGAAATAATTTACCAGTCAAAGATCATTATCTAATATACTCACACTTTGAAAATTCACCTGAAGACATGTCAGCCACAACACACACGTTGAGTCTAGCACCACTTTTATTGGCACAGAGAATCAAGGTAAACATAAAGGTACAAATGTAATCTTTAAGCTCGTAAACTTTATATGTACTATATAGAAGTTATCATCAGGTTTGATCTCAGTTTAAGGAAGAGATTTCCCACGTATAAAATAACCAACGTTTCCAGTGTTTCCGCTAAAGCTTTGGCTCCTTAACATTCAATGGACTCACACTTGGACATTTACATACAAATGGGAAGTTAAAATGTGCTTGTCCCCGATAAACGGCAGCAGCTATAGCTCAGAATGGCTCGTGCCAGCAATGCCAAACATTATCCCGTTGCTTTTATACTTCCTAACAGTTATATTTCTCCATAAGACATAGTTTGAACACCATACACTTGGTTTACATATTCCCCAAGTTTTCAATCAAGACCCCATGATTGAAAACACAATAACATGCATACAGTATATTCTATACAAACACATCTTCCAGCGCAATTGTTTTGTAACACAACATCAGGTTTTAGTGTAATGCCTGCCAAGATAATGATGTTCAATGTTTGCTTTAAGAGGCCTATGTATAATTGGGCTTTAACAAGCGGTGGTGCGGATCAAAAATTCCCTTTTTTTCAACAAAATTGCCCCTGATCTGATACATGCAGTCTCATGCACATTTGAACCAAAGACAGGACAGCTAAAGTCCAGATTAAAGAATGGCTTTCACAGTTATACAGAGCTGCAATAGTGTGTTGAGGGTTAGATAAGATGGGAAGTCTAAAATAGGAATTAAGAACCGTTAGGAACCAAATGATGACCAAAAATGGCTTCTCCGATAGACCAACTTTATAAGTGTATCATATCATTTGGTCTCCTGGGCCCAGGAGTTAAAAACTTGTAATCTCAATCAGATCCGATCAGATTTTGAAATCCCATTTTTTGTGATCCAGGATCAGACAAGTCGGCCAAATTGTCCCTGGAGTTCAAAGCAATTCAGGATCAGCCTGATCCAGATTACGATTTTTCAAGATGACTAGATCCTGAATATCAGTGCTTTAATCCTACCGATCGCCATCTAGTGGACATGAAAAGTAACCCAAGAGACCACATTGCAGAGACATCTATAATGTTTAATTATATTTTTTTATTTGAAAGATGATGACAGATGATGGATTTTTTTTTGTTGAAGATTTGTTTTCTTTAATCTAAATTACATTTGTGATTGACAATCTTTGTTGTGATACTTTCATGAGCATAAACATTTATGTCAACATTTGGTTGAAAAAAATGATTGATTTCTCATGAAGGCTAAAAATTGTGTATTATTTCAGTTAACAAACTTTGCCATCTTATTTATATTGAAACATATTTTTAAATAAATGGTACAGTACATTTTGCTCTGGTAATCCACTGGAAACCCACCCCTCTGGTGGGATCAGGATAATCCAGTTTTTTGGGATCAAACTGATCCCAATCCTGTGTTGTCGGCAGTAGCGTGCCGTGGGGAAAAAAATTAGGGGAAGCCAATAATACGTCCTTTCTTTTGGGTCGGGGGTGTGGTGGTCAATATAATAACGTAACCAGATGAGTGATTACAGCACCCGGTATTATTTTACACACATTTGTATCATACAGATGCAGGCCTGTTATCTAACCGACAGGTCCGCACGCACTCTCCAGCCCAAACTAGAGAAACAAGAGCTATTTTCCAAAATCCTATGGAGAAATCCCATTGCCTTTTTGTGGAGGGAAACCGAGCGCGGCTTACTTCCGGGTTTTAGGATGCGTCACTGCAACACTAAGTTGATGCGATTTGATTGGATTGTGAGGCAAGGGAAGCCAGCCGCCTCTGGCTTCCCTTGACATGGCCCTGACCAATCACAGGTTGGCAGGGGCATCACGTGAGCCTCATCTGATTGGTCAATCCCTCCATTTTTTTTCACCAGGGAAGCCAATTTCGGCTGGCCTCCTCTCGCAACAAAGAGTGCAATCTACTGTTTCACCATAACATCTAGAGGGGCGCTGTTTCACTCTTTGTAAAATACTCAATGAGAATGGGGGAGAGACGGGCCGGCAGCAACACACAGCAAAGATTTCCGAAACTAAACAAAGTGTTTTTATTTATTTATTAAAATTATAACTACAATCCGAAAAAACAGGAGAAGCCTGGCTTCCCTTGGCCTCCGGGAGAAAACGCCACTGGTTGTCGGTTTGAACTACCCGTTTTGAAGATTTGATCCAGATTAAAGCTTGGATTGGATTTCCTGATCTGATATCAAAATGATCCTAATCCTGTTTTTTGGTTTTGAACTCCCCAAAATCCAAATCTGATCAGATCAGATAGGGATTACAAGTGTTGAACTCCTGGGCCCTGAGGATATCCATGATCAGAAACCCTGAGTACTGCAGACTGAGAGGCATGAAGGCTTTACACCTTCTCCAACTGTGTCACCCATGTTTTCAGTTTATCCGCCAGCACTGTGGGAGAGAGAGATAGACACCATATTAGTATTGTTATTGTTGGAGAAATTCTACGGTTAAAGGACCCTACTGTTTTCCCAGAACATAGTGACTTCACTATGTAACACTCACACTTCTATTGGCTAGCGCTCCAGCACATTGTACGTGATAGGCTAAGGGGGACATCTCTAAGTGGTTGACCAATCACAACAGAGCGGCCAGCTGACCAATCAGAGCAGACTGGGCTTTGGTTTCAGACAGAGGGTGAAAAGAGGTGCTGCAGCACATTAAAGCATGGAGACATGTAGAAACACTACATACTGATATACACCTGAACATCAGCAGGAGAGAACTCTTTAAAGTAGAGACACTACATACTGATATACACCTGAACATCAGCAGGAGAGAACTCTTTAAAGTAGAGACACTACATACTGATATACACCTGAACAATCGCAAGAGAGGACCTCTTTAACTGCTAGAGACTCTTTAAAGTAGAGACACTACATACTGACATACACCTGAACATCAGCAGGAGAGGAACTCTTTAAAGTAGAGACACTACATACTGATATACACCTGAACATCAGCAGGAGAGGACTCTTTAAAGTAGAGACACTACATACTGATATACACCTGAACATCAGCAGGAGAGGACTCTTTAAAGTAGAGACACTACATACTGATATACACCTGAACATCAGCAGGAGAGGACTCTTTAAAGTAGAGACACTACATACTGATATACACCTGAACATCAGCAGGGAGAGGACTCTTTAAAGTAGAGACACTACATACTGATATACACCTGAACATCAGCAGGAGAGAACTCTTTAAAGTAGAGACACTACATACTGATATACACCTGAACATCAGCAGGAGAGGACTCTTTAAAGTAGAGACACTACATACTGATATACACCTGAACATCAGCAGGAGAGGACTCTTTAAAAGTAGAGACACTACATACTGATATACACCTGAACATCAGCAGGAGAGGACTCTTTAAAGTAGAGACACTACATACTGATATACACCTGAACATCAGCAGGAGAGCACTCTTTAAAGTAGAGACACTACATACTGATATACACCTGAACATCAGCAGGAGAGAACTCTTTAAAGTAGAGACACTACATACTGATATACACCTGAACATCAGCAGGAGAGGACTCTTTAAAGTAGAGACACTACATACTGATATACACCTGAACATCAGCAGGAGAGGACTCTTTAAAGTAGAGACACTACATACTGATATACACCTGAACATCAGCAGGAGAGCACTCTTTAAAGTAGAGACACTACATACTGATATACACCTGAACATCAGCAGGAGAGGACTCTTTAAAGTAGAGACTCTACATACTGATATACACCTGAACATCAGCAGGAGAAGACTCTTTAAAGTAGAGACACTACATACTGATATACACCTGAACATCAGCAGGAGAGGACTCTTTAAAGTAGAGACACTACGTACTGATATACACCTGAACATCAGCAGGAGAGAACTCTTTAAAGTAGAGACACTTCATACTGATATACACCTGAACATCAGCAGGAGAGGACTCTTTAAAGTAGAGACACTTCATACTGATATACACCTGAACATCAGCAGGAGAGAACTCTTTAAAGTAGAGACACTACATACTGATATACACCTGAACATCAGCAGGAGAGGACTCTTTAAAGTAGAGACACTACATACTGATATACACCTGAACATCAGCAGGAGAGGACTCTTTAAAGTAGAGACACTACATACTGATATACACATAAACATCAGCAGGAGAGGACTCTTTAAAGTAGAGACACTACATACTGATATACACCTGAACATCAGCAGGAGAGGACTCTTTAAAGTAGAGACACTACATACTGATATACACCTGAACATCAGCAGGAGAGGACTCTTTAAAGTAGAGACACTACATACTGATATACACCTGAACATCAGCAGGAGAGGACTCTTTAAAGTAGAGACACTATATACTGATATACACCTGAACATCAGCAGGAGAGGACTCTTTAAAGTAGAGACACTACATACTGATATACACCTGAACATCAGCAGGAGAGGACTCTTTAAATTAGAGACACTACATACTGATATACACCTGAACATCAGCAGGAGAGGACTCTTTAAAGTAGAGACACTACATACTGATATACACCTGAACATCAGCAGGAGAGGACTCTTTAAAGTAGAGACACTACATACTGATATACACCTGAACATCAGCAGGAGAGGACTCTTTAAAGTAGAGACACTACATACTGATATACACCTGAACATCAGCAGGAGAGGACTCTTTAAAGTAGAGGCACTACATACTGATATACACCTGAACATCAGCAGGAGAGGACTCTTTAAAGTAGAGACACTACATACTGATATACACCTGAACATCAGCAGGAGAGGACTCTTTAAAGTAGAGACACTACATACTGATATACACATAAACATCAGCAGGAGAGGACTCTTTAAAGTAGAGACACTACATACTGATATACACCTGAACATCAGCAGGAGAGGTCTCTTTAAAGTAGAGACACTATATACTGATATACACCTGAACATCAGCAGGAGAGGACTCTTTAAAGTAGAAACACCACATACTGATATACACCTGAACATCAGCAGGAGAGGACTCTTTAAAGTAGAGACACTCCATACTGATATACACCTGAACATCAGCAGGAGAGGACTCTTTAAAGTAGAGACACTACATACTGATATACACCTGAACATCAGCAGGAGAGGACTTTTTAAAGTAGAGACACCACTGTAACTGTCACTCTATGCACTATTATAACTATGCACTGATTGGCTTAAGCTGAACAGCCAACCAGAGTTAACTTTGAGGTTTATTTGCTGACAGTGCGGGACTCACCGCATAGAACATGGCCAACAGACGCTCAAAATTAGCGGACCGGCGATAATCTGCTTGGTGTGTCATGGCCTTAAAGTCTGTCCTTTGTAAGACAGTCTAGCAGATACATGTTTTACCTAAAGGTGAACATGGTGATGGCGGTAAGTTACCTCCAGCAGACGGTCTCTGGAAGGGATCGTAGGCCCGGCAGGCGTTGATCAGAAGTTCTAGTTCTTTGGGACAGTCGTCAAGCGGCTCCTGGTATTTTTCTACGAACACTTTCTGATAGACTTCTTTAACGGTCAAACCTGAAAGAAAATCACGAACACAATAAGGACAAAATAATAAGCCCACGTTGTAGTTTTAGTCATGCAAGCAGCACCATTTGAGTCCACACTTTTGGATGGACTTTCTGTTCAGACATTCATGTTCCTCGTTCTTAGTCAACGTTTCTGACATTTACAGACCAAAACAATGTATCTAGAAAACAAGTTAATTGTACAAGAAGAGTCAGGTGCAGCTGTGCTTTGATTTCATATCTTTAAAGTTGTTTTTAACTTCTAGTAATTTCTGCATGTGATTTAGATCAGTGGTCCCCAACCCCTGGTCCGCGGGTCATTTGATACACAGAAAGATTGATTGAATGCAAAAATATTTGATTGATTATTTGTCTGAAAGATGTTTAATTTAGAAAAATGACCGGATACATCCGTCTGTGCGTCTGTGTCTCTTGGCATATGTCATTCCGGTGCGCTCTGGCAGCAAGTCTCTTTCTGTAACGGTGATCAACCATGAGGTCCTTTTTTTTTAAGATGTTGCAATCACATCTAGAGTTGGAGAGTCCTGGCTGTTGTGTTCTGCAGATACATACCGTCAAAAGGTTTGCGTCCAGTTGCAACTTCCCAGAGGACGATTCCAAAGCTGAAGGGCAACATTTGAAAGTTATCGTACAGCATTGAAAACACACATGCAATGTCTGAATTAACCTGATGTCCAGAGTGACGGTATCTGACCTGTAAACCTCACACTCTTTGCTGTAGTTGTTAATGTATTCCAGCAACTCAGGAGAGGAGTAGGTGAAGGACCTGTTGACCCCGCCCCTCTTTGGCTTTCTCAGAGACGTCTCAGTTTGTGTGAACTCAAAGCCTCCCAGCTGAAAACCACACCAAGACTTTATTAGTTTCTCCCAACGCCAATCATTGGACCGTCAGCAATCCCAGCATGCACCAGCGTCCGTACCTTGACTGTGTAGCCGTCAGCCACCAGAAACTTGCTGCTGTTGATGCATCCATGAACTTTACATTTTTCTTCAGACTGGTGCAGTCTAAAAATGACACAGATGTTATCTTCAATGAAGGGACTTTTTATCTTTTAAATTGAATTGAATTCCTTTATTGTCATTGTACAGGTACAATGACATTTAAAAAGCATTCCTGTGCATAACAAGCAATAATGAACAGGACATAAAATAAATGATTGTGTTATTCTAACCGGTAAAGTCCCAGCGCTGCGTCCCGGCACATACGAGCTTTCTGGTTCCAGCTCAGTGTGCAACCAGAGTCTAGAACCTCCCGCAGACTTCCCTTCTCACAGTACTCCATGATGATGAGAAAATGAGGTTTAGGTCCTGCAGGAAGTCACAAGGCAACCTCAAGTTATTGTCATTTTAAAGGAGTGGTGCAGGAATTATGTATTTTTGTAGGTAGGTTGGACCAATAAATGCAATTGCCAGAAGAAAAAAGCTAATGATAGGCTATAAATGAACTACAGCATGGTCACATGACTTCACGTCACCACCGCTAAGCTAAAGGAGGCTAATGTTGGGCTATAAAGGAACTACAGAACGGTCACATGACTTCACGACACCATCGCTAAGCTAAAGGAGGCTAATGTTGGGCTATGAAGGAACTACAGCACGGTCACATGACTTCACGTCACCACCGCTAAGCTAAAGGAGGCTAATGTTGGGCTATAAAGGAACTACAGCACGGTCACATGACTTCACGTCACCATCGCTAAGCTAAAGGAGGCTAATGTTGGGCTATGAAGGAACTACAGCACGGTCACATGACTTCACGTCAACACCGCTAAGCTAAAGGCAGCTAATGTTGGGCTATAAAGGAACTACAGAACGGTCACATGACTTCACGTCACCACCGCTAAGCTAAAGGCAGCTAATGTTGGGCTATGAAGGAACTACAGCACGGTCACATGACTTCACGTCACCATCGCTAAAGGCAGCTAATGTTCACAGGGATGACGTGTATTACTCTTATTTAGTCATATTTTAGCAATTGCCCTTTCCAAGACCAATAGGACATTCTCCAGTGGGGTATTTACTGATGTATTTTGTGTCTAAGAACCAACGTCTCTTCAGCTTGTGTTAACCACAGACCTTGACTTCAAGACAAGGAAACCAGACAAGCTAAAATGCTGACTCATTTTCCGGGCTTGAGCACTCATTGCTGCACCACTCTATATTCAGAATTGTAATTTACAGTCCACTCACCCGTCTCGTCCTCGACACAGATGCCAAACATTCGCAGGATGTTGGGCGACTGAAACACTTTCATGGTTTCCACATCCTTTTTGAAACCTCTACTCACCTCGCTATATGTCAGTGGCATTGAGGAAGAAGGAAAAAAAAGGAACGGTAACAGCAAGCACTTATCTCCTCCAGCTTGTCTTTAAAGGTGAATAAATCCACCAAAAGAACAAAATGATGAATGCAATTAGGAAAAAGGAAATTGGTATTGTCGTGAAATGTGCACAGACCTTATGCTGGTGGTCGCAGGGTCAGTGTATCTCTTGATGGCCACTGGGAAACTACGGTACTCTCCTCTGAAGACCTCTGAGGTTGGCGTTGTCATAAAGGGCTTCTTGGTCAGGCCGTCAACAAGCTCGTATTTAAGCTCCTGCTGTTTGATGATCTGGATGCCCACATCGTAGGGCTTCTCCACTGTGAAAACATGTAGGCAAAAGTTAGTTTTAGCTCTGGTTTTGGTTTCCTCCAACTACTAAGGCAAGATAGATTTATTTATATAATAGGTTTCAACAACAAGGCGACTCAAATCTGATGAATTGTTCTGACATTGATTATTATGCTGTTTATGCTATACTCACACATTTTCACGATCTTATTAATGTCTTCCTGCAACTTGTTTACCATCACCTGCTGCTCCTCCGCATACTGCAGTAGCACTGAGGAACAAACAAACACGTATAAAGTCAAAAAGACAACAATAATGCACCACTTTCCTGCTGTGATTTCACACAATATCCTACACAGGGATGTCCTTTTATCTCATAGTCAGTATGTTCAAGTTTGGATACTGTCATACGAAAATGTGAAGAATGTTTTGTCATTAAGCTTTATTTCAAACCTGGACTTTGAGGGACTACAAGGTCCAGGAAGTGCCGAAGTTCCTCAAACTCACGCGTGTTTGCTTTCCTTTTAAAGGTCGCCTATTATGCAACATCTGCTTTTTCATGTATTTTCTACATCAACATGTGTAAGTCTGTGTAAAGAGATTCTGAACGTTTCAGGAACAAAGACCCCCTCTCTTTTTGTCCTGATCCATTTGTATAAAAACCTGTCTGTAAATGAGCTGATCAGATTTTGGCCACTTCACGGTTTTTTGGCTTGTGTAACCATTAGCCAATCACCAAGCAAGGTAACCCCCCCTCTCCCCCCCCCCCCACCTTATCACCTGAATCTCCTCTTAGAGCTCTCAGAGGGGCGTGGCCAGCAGCAGCTCATTAGCATTTAAAGATACAGACAGAGAATCAGCACTTTGGAAACAGGGCTGAAACAGAGGGGATTATGGGATGCTGCAATGATCTGTTTGGTGTTTCAGACAAATACTTCGGAGACATGTTCTGTATATACCTGAGATCTATAATATATTGTTCAAAAATAGTATAATAGGGGACCTTTACACTTTTTTAAATAAAAAAAAAACAGTGGGCTATCAAGCTAGCGAATGTTAGCTATCCATCTAACTAGTAAGTTTAGTTTTTTATCTAACAGACTAACTAGTAGATGTTAGCTATTTAACAAGCTGGCTAGCAACGATAACTATACCTATCATCAAGATGGCAAGCGAACATTAGCTATGTACTTTACAAGCTAGCTTACATTAGCTACCTATCTAACAAGCTGGCTAGCGAATGTTAGCTATGTAGCTAGCGTTTGTGCCTACCTTGCAGGCAGTGAGAGTTATGATAAAAACATTGTTGACATGTGAGTTTTTTTATGCTGACCGGCTGCTAACAGCTCAAAACATTGCCTTAAATTGCAAAATATGTTCTATATGGATAAACTAATCATGTATTGGTAATACAAATGGTTAGTTTCTTACCTGGAAGAAGTGTTATTACCTAATAAAAGTACATTTAGAACATCTTACAAACGTTTATTTGGCAAGATAAAGATGATAAAGCTAATGACGCTAGGCAAAGTAATTGCAATTACGCTCTAACTGGAAGTTCGAACACAAATTAAGGTTCTGAAACTCTACAAAGCCACCATCAGTTTCCCCTCACGTTTCTTCAGCTCGCTGTCATCCTGCTTCCTGTCCATCTCGTCCTGTTTCTCCCGGGTGGATTTTTCGAACACCTTCAGCAGGACCTTGCCTTGCTCCACCTGCAGAGATCCTGAAAGGACCTGGAAGGCGTCGTCGAGGCGGTCGTTCAAGCTGCTGAACTCGTCTTCGTGGCTGCCAGACTTCAGCACTCGCTTCACCAAAGATTCCCCTGAGTATTTCTCCATGACCTCCATCGCTGATTGCAGAGTGAAGGAGAGTTCCTTGAGGCATCGTTCTACGTCTGCAGAGGTTTGTCCCTTCTCTCTCTGCTGGATGGACTTCACCAGATGCTCCAGAGCTTTGATGCGATCGCAAACACGACGGCATCGCTTCTTGTTGGCCTTCACATTCTCCACCAGGGAGTAGATCTGGGAGGCGATAGACACGATGAGTTCAATGCTCTCCATGAGCAGCTGGAAAGAGGGGGAAAATCCATTATATCAAAGCAGAAGCTGAACTGAAGCTAATGCATTGGTTTTTATTTGACATCTTCTTACCTAAAGGGCACATATTTTGTTCATTCTCAGGATATGTTTACATACTTTAAAGGGGCCCTATTATGCTGATTTTCAGGTTTCCCCTGAGGGGTTCTATTGATCTTTAAAGGTCCCATGTCATGCTTTTCCGGTTCTTACCCGTCCCCTTGTGTGTTATGAAGCTTTTTCTGCATGGTTTATGTCTGTTTATGTTTAGGTCTGCAGAGTCACAAACCCTAAAAGTGCACCCTGTAGCGAGTAAAACTCTAACACAGAGAAGACCTGTCTGTGCTGCCCCAGAACGCCTCATTGGACATTTTTCTTTTTACATTTTTTTCTTCCTGAGTATAGTGATGTAACGATACCCAGGTCCAAATGGACCAATCCGTGGAGCTCCTCACACACACTCACTCAGCCTTATCTTTTCTCAGCCGCGGCTCCGCACACACACACACTCACTGCCTGGCTGTGTGTGTGTATGTGTGTGCTCGCGGTGTGTCGCTGTCTCGCAGACCCCACGCAGCAACCAGGAAACGACACCAGTATTACAACTCACACTGTCCGCTCCTCGAGCCTCAAAGAGCGGAGCAGCGAGCCCCGCAACGTTCCGCCCTCACGGCACCCAGACCCCACGCAGCATTCTCATCTGTTTGTCATTACTGGTGTCATTTCCTGGTAACAAACGCCATTGTAACACATACTCACTGATCTTCAGACTTAACGGTGGTGGACTCATCAGAACAGAGTGGGCGAGCTGACCAATCAGAGCACAGTGGGCTCACAGGGAGGGAGGGGGGGCAGGAGCTCCAACAAGCCGTGTAGGACAGAGAGTGAATACACATACTATCAGAGATGCTGGATAAGAAACCAATGTGAGTTTGGAACATTGAACAATGTGAATCTATTCTAGTCGACCTCAACGATGGAATCATGATCAGTAGAAATGGCCAAGACATGGAGCCTTTAAATCAGCCAATAAAACACAGAACACGTAATATAAGAAAAGTCGGTACCACTCTACAATAAGACTACCCTAATAAAGGATTCATAAAGGGTTTATTATTAGGTTAAAATTAGGTTGTAAACACTTTATTCATCATTAAGAACCATTTATAAACCAGTTCTAACATAGTTTTCATACATCAACACAGGCTCACTATTTGGCAAGATGACTAAGCCTTATATTGGCTACTTAGCGAGAATCCACTCAGTGAACAACAGATACCAAGGATGCTGGCTGATGAAGGAGACGAAGTAAGCTAAGCAGCTAATATAAGGCTTAGCAGTACAGATACATGTGGGCTCACTATTTGGCAAGCAACCGGTCACAGTTGCCCTGTTTATCTCATGTCTTATAAAAGCTTATTAATGATTTATAAAGTGTTCACAACCTAATTAATAAATGTATTACAAACTATTCGTAAAGCCTTTATAAGGGTATTCTTATTATAAAGTGGTTCTGAAAAGTCACACAGGATAAAACACTTAATTATAAATCAATGTATAAGCAGAATTATGCAAAGTGGAACATCTAAGAAGCATGCAAAACCAGTTTAGACAGACACATCTTAAAATACACAACAGAAGACAGGTTAAAACATGAAGGGATGCAATCCTACAGCCAGAAAGCAAAGCAAGAGAAGCAGACAGAGCACGCACGAACAAGCCCTGATCCTCCAGAGAGAGACTGATAACATCTTACAGCCAGAAAAATAAATACTAGTCTGTCCACGTTCTGTAATGCATACCTGCATGATGACACACAGCAGGAGATGGCATTACTATCTGCTAACTATCACATTGGTTTCATTACTGCTGCAGATATCTGGTCATAAACCAAAGAGATATTTATCTTTACGAACTGAAAGCCGACAATGTCATCATGTTCTGATGACACGGCTAATAAAAACACTACCCACTTTTATGAGTAGAATAAAAATGGGTCCGGACAAGCTGACCTACATTAATACTCTCTATTTGATTGCACTTTCACGGTTACATTTGAGTGAAACATGAACAGTGTTGTTTTTTTAAGATCCATTTCCCTTCATTGTGATTTAAATTTCTTTTTTTAAATGTTCCTTTGTTTTTGATACCACACTATTTGCATTATCAAGGTGTAAAGCAGGCTGCTAGATTAAAATACAATTACAATTCTTAATGTAATGTAACCCTAACCCTTGCACAGAAAGGACTCTTGCCTGGACTTGGATCATTGAACCCCAGCGGCCGTTTACTTTTAAGTTCATTTTAACTTTTCTATTTATGGTTTATTCCTATATCAATATGCAACAGACAGAGGTTTAACACTCTTTCCCTGTGGCCTCCTCGTGCCCTGGTCAAAACCATATGCCACACCAACCCAGTCTCATAAAAAAACATGTAATAACTACGTTGGTCCACAACTTGGGACGTAGTATTTCTACAAAAACGGGAAAATAACGTATCTATGCCACAATTTTAGATGCGGATTTTGTTAAACTAATACGTTTGCGCTGTGGACCAACACTATACATTGACGGGGAAGAGGGTAGCAATAAAGATAACACCATTAAACAGTTACACAACATAACAGAAATAATATCGATAGCAGCGTCCCTAGCAACCACCTTGGTAACAATGAAAACGTTGAATAGACACAATTTCCTGAAGTAATCTTCGTAATAACTAACAAACTAAAGATCATGTACACTGCACACATAATCTGAAATAACACCTCATATTTCTCGCATCAAATGACATCAAAACGCATTTTAATGGCCAAACTAACTTTAAAATAGGCATTTTACACCGAGAATAAAACGAAGGTCGGCCATGTTTTTTTTTTCTGCAGGGAGAAATGTGAAGATCACGTGACATAGACGCCAGCCATTGGAATGAATGGTGAACAAAAACGTAGGAGTCTTCACGGTCCGTCCACACAGCGGCGTGCGTTGAAGCTTCCAACGCTTCTGCCCATTCACTTTGAATGGGGTGACGTCACTTTTAGCCGAACTGCATTTTGGGAAGCGACGTGGAGCGTTGCTGGCGTAGCTGGCGTCAAAAGTTGAGCAATGTTCAACTTTTGACGCCTCGACGGAGGCGTCAGCCAATGAAATCCCGTTTATGCAAATCTGCCAGTACAAGCGCTAGCCAATCAAACCGCGTGTATGCTGGGAGAGACTACGCAGGTCATTTCCTCATATTCCAAAAAATGGAGGGAAAATTCATTATAGCGGTAGAGTCACCCGGTGCTGTTTGATCAGTCTCTGTTGATCTACCGGGATACAAACCGGAGGAGCGAGGCATGGAGGGAGGTGGCAGAGACAGTGGATGAAACTGGTAGGTTTTCGCCTGTTTGGGGATTTTATATCCAGTTTACTTCGTTTTAACATTGCTATTGCTTTGTATGCCGGGGGCGGGAGATTCATGTGATTGGTTGTTGGTCGCGTTGCTCGCAAAAAATCCCCAAGCTTCAGACACGCCCACCTCCAAGCGTCAACGCACGCCGCTGTGTGGACGGGCCGTTACAATTTCAGAGGCGTTTTTGTAGAAATACTACGTCCTACGTTGTGGATCAACGTAGTTATTACACGTTTTTTTGTGAGACTGGGTTGAACACACTGGTGCTCAGCTCCCACCACCACCAGTCTCCAGTATATACACCAGGTGCCCCAATCACCCAGTGCCCAAATACTCCTTCGAAATAAAAGCATACAACTACTTTAACTAACTCATAATAACACTAAATAATATTACATTTACTATAAACAAAAAACAGCGAGAAAATAAATGTTTAACTATTAAATAATATCAATCAAAATATAGCTCCAACACTGAACAACTTTCCTAAAGCTTTCAAGGACACAGATTGTGAGTATGTTTGGATTTCTTGTCCGTCCGAAACTCACAAGCCGCTTTGACTCAAGATTTGTTCTATTTTCAACAACTTCTTCTTTTCTCTTCCCCCCTGTCGTTCCCACGAATGACAGCTTTGTGTTGCCCGGGGGGTAATAACTTGTCTTTGTGTCCGTCTTCAACAAGTTCACCCAGCGAGGAAAGTTCCTCTTCAGCAAACGGGCAAAAACCAGTCTGTAGTGAATAAGTACGGCTGCACAGAAACGACATGCTGAATCTGCAGAAGACTGAACAGGAACAAGAGGACAAAAGCAGAGCCGTCTGCAGAGGAGTTTACATGTTGATAAGATTTATTACAACAACAACAACAACAACAACAGTATTTACCTTTTAGTTGATGTAAAGTCTCTCGTCTGAGGGATTTAGCCTGTTGTGTGTCAAAATGAAACTTCTGTCGGCTCCTCCGTCGGCTGCTTCCTCTTATTCTCTGAGTTTAGTCCTTCCTCTAAGTGTGACGCATGCTCGTGACTCATGCTCGTGACGCATGCGCAGATGTCTTTTAAATTGTCCCAGTCCAAAAGGTGGGATCAGTTTATTTGAAGAAAAATAGGTCCAAACTAATACAGGGTTCTTACCTTCTCTCTTTACAACATTATAATCATACTAAACCTATCGTGCTGTGATCATGTTCAAATATGAAACTCTAATTCACAGTTTTACATTTATTACCAAAATTGTAATTTCAACTGCCCAATTCAGTTGTGATTTTTAAATCTTCCGATATAATTTAGAGGCGTTTCCTCATAAAAGACCGGTGATAATAAAAAGCACATTCAAACTTTCATTTTCACCAAATCAATTCACATCAATTTCATACCTTTTTTCCGACACAGACGGCGGGAATAACATTCAAAAACCCGTTCCTATCCGCATGAATTCGGAGTAAGATTCCTCACAGGTGGAGGGCCTAATATTCACAAACACATCACCTATCAAATCATTCCACTCAGTTCACAAAGAAATTCACTCAGCATTCAACCAAGACATTTGAGAGATATTTACCAAGTCTGAGAGAACCTTACCGAGAGCAAAAACCCAGCTCTCAGGGAGAGAGCTTACAGAGAGAGAGCATAGCAGGGGAACCCCCCCCCTCTCTCTCGCTCTCTCCAAAAAGCAAGTTCCTCCCCATCCGCCAGTCTTTATGCTCGAAAAAACAGGATAGAAAACCCAAGACACCTCCTCCATACCCATATTTGTGGAAACTGGGCATGGCCTCTGACGTACAGGACATGACCAGACATATTCTATTGGCTATGGCATAAGACACACCTTTTTGGGGCCTCAATGTATTTCTCCTTAAGTCCGGAGCCCCCCTCCCTGTGTACTGCTGTGAGGGGAGGGGGAAGAAACTGCCCTCTCCTGTCAAGAACTTTGACAGACACTTGGACTCAAACGCACGACTCAAAAGAAAGTTTGTTGTTCAAAAGGTCTTTACTTTGGAGAAGTATAAAGTTCAAACAAAAATCACTCCTGAGAGGCAAAACGTAGCAAAGCAAACTACAAACTAAATAAACTTGACTGTGATCACAAAGTACAAAATCTCTTGGCGTGACAAGCTGGCTCTCTTAATGGCACAAGTCGAACTGGCACAGGACAAAGGGAGACAGGACTAGTTATACATGAGGTAAGGGAACAGGTGGAAACAACAGGGGCGGGGCAGACGCTGACGATGGCGGGAAAACACACAAAGGGAGGAAGTAAGGGGACATGAAATGAGAGACAAGAGGTAAGTACAAAATAAAACAGGAAGTGCAATGACAGGACTAGACAGGTGAACAAAAAGACTTGACTAAACATAAATCTAACCTATGAACTAGACGTGAAACAATAACATGAACCTGATTAATATGACATGAATAATTTAGCAGACATGACGGGATGTTACCTCTCCCTTATCAGTGACACCCATAAACCATTTTAGGCCTTACACTCAACTTTAACAAACCACTTTGTTTATACTGTAAATATAGAAAAACATAACCTAGGAAACATTTTCATTGTGAGTTATACCAGAATATAATTTATTATAATTAACTTTCGTTTTAAGTATTCAACATACTATGAAGATCTCAACAAGTGTTATTACCTATACAACTTCAAAAGACATCCTTAAATGTCATATAACCATATATTACCACAAAAGCGTCAATAAGTATTATTACACCACTATTTAGGAACAGTACCTTATAGGGGGGATTACAACAACAATAGGTGAGCAAACAAGTCGTAAAAAGAATGAAGGCAATGGTTTATTAGAGTTTAGGTTTAGGGGCGGGACTAAGGGTTTATGGCGGGTCATAAATCAATCACTCAACATGTCATGAATACCAAAGTGACACATACCCTCTCCTTTCTACTACTTGTATCATAATATCATCTAGTACAAAACACAATAAAACGTGTCTTGTTTTGCACTCACGGTTTGATGACTTTAATTGAGGAAACACATTTCCAATAAGCACAAATCCAATCACACACCATAAACAATGGTATCAATATGTAATCATCGCTTGTTGAATATAGGCTTAGTTTGTCGGGGGACATCTTCCTTCTTCCTTCTCTCTGTCTATACCTGTGTACTCTCATGTTCCCATTAACCCAGCTTCCCCAAATGTCTTTCTTTTTGGTGTCTATATACGCTGGGATCCGGAGTCATGGATGATCCTGCGGTCCTGTGTCCTGGATCGCGAGCCCTGGATCTTGAGTCGTGGCTGTGGTCCTGGATCATAGGTCCTGGATGGAGATCCTCGTGGATTCATCTTCCTATTATACACACATGCATTTCCAAACATTTGGACTACCTATGTTGCAAATGTATTATCTTTTCAATTTACACACGGCATCTATTGCACGTCTGTCCGTCCTGGGAGAGGGATCCCTCCTCTGTTGCTCTCCCTGAGGTTTCTCCCATGTTCCCTTTAAACTGTGGGTTTTCTCCGGAAGTTTATCCTTGTACGATGTGAGGGTCTAAGGACAGAGGGTCTAAGGACAGAGGGTCTGAGGACAGAGGGTCTGAGGACAGAGGGTCTAAGGATAGAGGGTCTGAGGACAGAGGGTCTAAGGACAGAGGGTCTGAGGACAGAGGGTCTAAGGACAGAGGGTCTGAGGACAGAGGGTCTAAGGACAGAGGGTCTGAGGACAGAGGGTCTGAGGACAGAGGGTCGGATAGAGGGTCTGAGGACAGAGGGTCTGAGGACAGAGGGTCTGAGGACAGAGGGTCTGAGGACAGAGGGTCTGAGGACAGAGGGTCTAAGGACAGAGGGTCTAAGGATAGAGGGTCTAAGGACAGAGGGTCTAAGGACAGAGGGTGTCGTATTGTCATACTGATATTCTGTACAAACTGTGAAGTCCACTGAGACAAATGTAACATTTGTGATTGGGCTATAAATAAACATTGATTGATTGATTGATTGATTGATTGATTGATTGATTGAAGTTAGTTGAAAGCAATCATATTAAATTTAACCTAATATTTCTTACTTAATCTTAATATTATGGCTTTCAACTAACCTAATACAGTTATGTGGAATCTGTTGACATACTACATTTAATTAAAGTCAAGGCTTCAGTTGAAACAAACACCAGAGTTGTAACAAACCTGTAGAAACAGAACTAGGACTGCTCTGTAACAACAACAACAACAACAACAACTGTCACCACTCTGGATATTTGTATAGAAATGAAGGATACTTTTCGATCAGGGCCACAATGTTTTTCAGGCAGGGTTGCCACATTAAGTTGTATATTAACTGGGCATAGAATGTAGTACCATGTATGGTACATATTACACTAAGACAGTAAAATCATAAAGCATAGTCGTCGCTGACTGCTGCTGAACATTGATACCAAAGTCCATTCGATATAAAGATAAAATGCATTACCCTGAATACAACTTAACTAAATGGAACTAAAATACATGAAATAGTTGTCCTGCCTGCTGCTTGTCACCACCACATACAACAGGATACTTTACAATGAGCATTCTTTTATAAATCCTGTTATTTATCCCTCAATTACTTTAGCTGCTTTGACTTTTGAGCTTCTATAGCAACTTAATCTCCCCTTGTTAGGATGAATACATGTCTTATCTGATCCTATAGGAGATTGTTGAGAACAAAGTCTGTTTTGCGCTGGCTTGACTGTACCATAACTGTTATTGTGTTTAACAGAAAGATACATGTTAGTCACAGACAGACCTGCAGAGACACGACTGAGGAGTGACGGATCAGCTCACCTGTTCAGTGGACTTCTTACTTTCTTTAAAGCATCTGCCTCCATTTACCAGTAAGTACTCATCTCTGTTATATTATTATGTTATTCCTTTTATGTTTTTAGTGTTATTGAGTCTTCTCATGATGTTTTCTTCGCCTGAGGAAACTGCTATGTGGTGGAACATTATATCTCTACGTAAGAGGAGGAATATCATGTTTTATTAAAGCTCACACAGCCTTGGTTATCTCAGCTTGACTCATCTTATGTTCATAATATTCAGCACCACTCACTTTTTCAACATGCGGTAACAAGAATTATAGTTCCATTAATGTCAGATTCATGTAAATCCATTTGACAGCTACTTGCCTTCGTGTCTCTCCAGCTGATCCTGGAGGTCACAGAGATCATCTCCCGTGTGAACGTCATATTGAAGTTAACGTGGGATTTAAAATGCAGAGTGAAAAGAAATGATAAAATGATCCTGATCCCCAAAGCTTTGAATAATCTCCAAGGAGTTCTGACAAAGCCAAGAAGAAGCTCCAGAAGTAAAATGACTCAACTGATAATAATGTTAATTGATTTTACTGAATACAACTAGAATTAACAACCATGTAAACATTTGCTAAACAAACACTGGAGTTGTGAAAACACTTACTTTACTGTATAATATGTATTCCCTTAGTTGTCCCTTTAGTTGTTATTGTTTTTGAGTCTTCTCATGATATTTTCGCCTGAGAAAAACTGTCATTTCAATAATAAATAGGTTGATCATGGAATGTAATTGAAACCAAAATAGCCGAATAAATATTTGTATAGATTATACAGTGTTTCGCATCCCAGCTTGACTCATGTTGTGAAGATTATATTCAGCACTGCTCAACATGCCATAACAAGAATTATAGTTCCATTAATGTCAGATTATTTTTCCGTAAATGTTTTGCGAGCTAACTGCCTCCGTGTCTCTGCAGCTCATCATTGAACTCATTGGTGTGCATCTGGACCCGGTGACGACATTACCTATTGACGCAGCAACCACTGTAAGTTATATTCTTGTTTAATTAGACTTCTCTGTTTCATTTATTCGACTCTGTATAAATTGTTATTGTAGCGTAAACGGCTAAATCGCGTTTGAGAGATTTTAAATCTCAGATCTGCTCAGGCGAAACCTGCTTTACAGGTCTCAGCACTCAAGCCTGCATTAATATAGGCACGGCCAGTCTATTGTCGCCCATCAGCTGTAGATAGTTAACT